CACTCCAAATTCCGGGATTCTTGGAACTTTCTGAGAAAGGAGCCTACTCGCCGTCATCGGTCTACACCCAAGAAGATGTGAAGGATATCATCGCCTATGCTGCTGCAGTGCGTGCTCCTCTTACAAGTAATCTTCTAGCGCTATCTTAACTGATGAAACCCGTAAACACATAGCGCGGTATCGATGTCCTCGCTGAGATCGATACACCCGGACACACCTCTATCATCCACAACGTTTTCCCTGAACACATCGCTTGCCACGAGAAGACCCCCTGGGCAACATACGCCAACGAGCCTCCCGCAGGTCAACTCCGTCTTGCTTCGCCCGAAACTGTCAATTTCACAGCGAGCTTGATTGACGCTGCCGCTTCTCTCTTCCAGTCCAAGCTTTTCTCGACAGGAGGGGACGAAGTGAACCAGAAATGTTACCAGGAAGATTCGGAAACACAGGAACAGCTGAGTGCTAGCGGGAAGACGTTGGAGGGTGCCCTTGGAGACTTTGTTGGTGCTACGCACGAGGTGTTGCATGCGCAGGGCAAGTCGGCGGTTGTGTGGCAGGAGATGGTCTTGGATCATACTGAGGTGAAGCTGCGCAATGATTCGGTTATCCTGTGAGTACGAATTGGTATTTCGGATCTGTTCTCGGTCGGCTTACATGGCTTTTTCGCCTGTAGTGTGTGGATCTCGTCGGATGATGTTAAGGCTGTCGCTCAGAAGGGATTCAAACTCGTTCATGCTGCGTCTGATTACTTCTACCTCGATTGTGGACACGGTGGATGGGTTGGTGATTTCCCGACCGGAAACAGCTGGTGCGATCCTTTCAAGACCTGGCAGAAGGTTCGTCAATATCGAAGTCATACCGATTCCTTATCTAATCCTTTCTTCTGCGACACATAGGCATACTCCTTCAACCCAACCGCCAACCTCACTGAATCTGAAGCTCAGCTTGTCCTAGGTGGTCAACAACTCCTGTGGACGGAACAAGCTGGCCCACAGAACCTTGACGACACTGTTTGGCCTCGTGCTGCCTCTTCGGCGGAAGTTTTCTGGAGTGGGCCGGGTGGAAACATCAGTGCAGCTTTGCCTCGGTTGCACGATATTGCGTTCAGGATGAACAAGAGAGGTATTGATGCGATCCCGTTGCAACCTTTGTATTGTGCGCTCAGGCCAGGTGTTTGTGATTTGACCGCGTAAGGGTCGCCGGAAGGAATTTGAAGGGCCAATTTAGGAATCGGACTGTCAGTGTCGTGTATATACACCTTTTACAGTCAGTCGTTACTCGCTATATCCTCATTATCTGGGACTATATACCTACTTGCGTTCGTTTCGTTCGGCCTCTGTCGAGATTCGCCAGTCTCTACCATCATCTGGCATGGGCATGTGGTTTCCTCACCCACATTCTCATGGATTCATCCATTATTCATTCTCTGGTGGCGTCCGAAGAAGCAAGGTGTCGTGACAGAAGGAACAATAATTCCGTACGTAGTCTCCAGTGGCATCCGATCATTAGGGGGAGTTCTGACCAACTTCTTCGACTTGCCTCCAACTACCACCATGAAGCGCAAAGTTCTCCTCAGCCTAATATTCAACCTAGCCATTAGTGCGACCGCCTTATGGCCTCGCCCACAGACTATGACCACAGGGTCGAAAGCACTCAAGATTTCCTCCTCGTTCGATATAACGCTTTCTGGCATCCCGAACGTACCTCAAGACCTTCTGGATGCCATCGCGCAGACGAAATCTGCCATTTCAAATGACAAGCTGGAACGCCTGGTCGTTGGTCGCGGTGCTGCTGATGTTACAATCCTTAAAGCGGGTGCGAAGGAGTTGGGCAAGCTCGTTGTGTCCTTGGAGGGCGTCAAAGGCAACGTTCGAGGCATTTCTGAGGAGGCAGTCGACACTATCGAGAACCGTATCGAAGAATATACACTCGATATACCAGCTGATGGGTCAGCGGCGACGCTCAAGGCCAACTCGACGCTTGGCTTATATCGGGGATTGACGACGTTCCAACAGTTGTGGTATTTCTGGGAAGGTACGACCTACACTGTTCAAGCACCGGTGCATATCAATGATTCGCCTAAATATGTGAGCCTGAAAATTCATCTGAGCACGCTCATCAGTTCTGATTTTGGTTTCTCAGCCATATCGTGGGCTTATGCTTGATACTGCTCGGAATTAGTGAGCCGTCAGCTTGCACTGAAGATCCTCCATCTCAATGGCTATCTATCGCTAGCTTTCCCGTTCAGGACATCAAGCGAACTTTGGATGCCATGAGCCTCGTGAAGGTCAGCCTTTCTTGACCATACGATTGTTGCGAGCGTCCACATGGACTGAACGTTCTATCAAAACCACTCTCAGATGAACGCATTTCATTGGCACGTTGTCGACAGTCAGAGCTTCCCGATTCAGATACCTGGCTTCACGGAGCTCGCAGAAAAGGGGGCTTACTCGTCGTCCGCGGTATACACTCAACAAGATGTCAAAGACATCGTCTCTTATGCAGCCGCAGTAAGTTCTGAATCACTTATAGCTTCTTTGACCTTGGACTGACTCGAAATTTGAACGCGAAGCGCGGTATCGACGTTATTGCGGAGATAGACACTCCAGGACATACGACCGTTATTGGCAATGCGTACCCACAACATATCGCTTGCAGCGGGAAGAGACCTTGGGCCAACTATGCCAATGAACCTCCTGCTGGACAACTTCGCCTCGCCTCGCCTGAAACGGTCAATTTCACCGCCAGTCTCATCGACGCCGCATCCTCCCTCTTTCCGTCCAAGTTCTTCTCGACGGGCGGGGACGAAGTCAATCAGAGATGTTACAACGAAGACCCGGAGACACAGCAATCGCTCAAAACAAGCGGGAAGACCCTGGAGCAGGCTCTGGACGGATTTGTGAGAGCGACACACGACGCATTGCACAAGCGGGGTAAGACGGCTGTAGTGTGGCAGGAGATGGCTCTCGAGCATAAGATTGGTCTGCGCAATGACACGGTCGTGTTGTAAGTCCGTTCGATATATCGCGAGATCAGACCAGCTTGACTAAATCGTTGTTTGACTTCTCTAGTGTTTGGATATCCTCAGACGATGCCAAAGCTGTCGCTAAAAAAGGGTTCCGGTTCGTCCACGCTGCGTCTGACTATTTCTATCTCGATTGCGGCGCTGGAGAGGGGATCGGCGACAATGGTGGGGCGAATAGTTGGTGCGATCCCTTCAAGACGTGGCAAAAGGTGAGCGAGGGCTCCTTATGAACGTGGGAAACTCATCTTACGTCCCCGATAGTCCTACTCCTTCGATCCGACCGCCAATCTTACTCAAGCTGAGGCTAAACTCGTCCTTGGCGGCCAACATCTTCTGTGGACCGAGCAAAGTGGCCCGCAGAACCTCGACCCGATCGTTTGGCCGCGAGCAGCCTCGTCTGCGGAGGTATTCTGGAGCGGGCCAGGAGGCAATGTGAGTGAGGCGTTGCCGAGGTTGCATGATGTTGGGTTTAGGTTGAATCAGAGAGGAGTGAGGGCGATTCATCTGCAGCCGTTGTATTGCGCTTTGAGACCTGGGGTTTGTGATTTGACCGCGTGATGATACTACTTTTCTATTAGTGGATTACCTCTACTGGAGCGTATTTCTGGCATTCCAATATACAGGTTGGAGATTACACCTCCGCAATGAACACTTATATTCACCAAGGTGCACTGTTCGTGAGCATTAATGGGGTAGTGGTAACCTGGGTCGTTGCCATCTGGAATTGGCCATGATGTGTCGCTTTTCGACCCGCCGGGGGTTCGATTCCCTCTTAATGCATTTAATTTTCTTGCACTTGCCAGAAATTTGTGGGAAGGGGTATTGTCCGCAACAAAATAACTACAGCACACAACGATCAGCTAAAATTTCATAATCAGCCAGCCGTTCTGCTTCAGTCTGAAGGCGAGAGTACTGGTCGAGAGTACATATACCAACAGCACCTAAAAATATCGATCTCAGATTTCACCTGCCATCCGCATCAGCTTCCAGCCAGATCCACAAACCCACAAAGCGAAAGCTTCAATCCTGATCAAACTATCGTCGTGGTCGACACTGAGTAATACTGATCATGCCCTTCTGTAAAACCGCGTGCAAGGTGACGGTCATCCAATGCCGTTGCATTCAAGCAGTAGACGAATCCGTGCTGGACGTGTACTAGCTGCCGGGAATACGTGAGCTTTTCCCCCTCTGGTTATAGCAGAACTCAACCTCCGAGGCGTGTCCGCACGGATGATGGATAGATACGGAAACTTCAAATACCTCATCCTGGTGTCGGACTACCGGGAGGTTGAGGCTATTTAAGCAAGTTGTACTGAAGCCTATCAGAAACCCAAAACACAAGGACTCACTTCTACTACTCCCCACTGTCCACGAGGAACCAGCGCATCACATCGACATCATGAACCTCGGCAAGTTCGCCGTTTCTCTCGTCACCATGGCTGTCGGCGTCGCTCAGGCTCAGGACGGCAGCTTCGACTTCTCTACGTACCCATGGCAGGCCCCGGGGCCCAACGACCTGCGTAGTCCCTGTCCAGGTCTTAATACGTGCGTCGAAGATACTGCCATACACCACGCGAGAGGGACTAATGCTTTCATAGGTTGGCCAATCATGGACTCTTACCGAGGGACGGTCGTAACATCTCAGTCCCAATGCTTATCGAAGCTGGAGCCAGTAAGTTGGCTGGAGAGTCCTTTCCTCCCATCACCTTCAGTTGTTGACCTGATTTTTTTTTCTCGCTCTACAGAGGGCTATAACATGGAGTCCGACGTCCTACTCTTTGCCAGCAAACTTGCTCTCCTGACATCCCGCGAAGCACAAACCATGTCACTTCACGACATCGCCTTGTACGTGTCTCGCCGCGTCTGAGAATCGGGAGGCAAGTTCTCGTTGTCTAATCCTCTGCCCGCAGACACGGCAACGTCGAGCATGACGCCTCAATCTCCCGCGAGGACATCGCTCTAGGTGACCACATCAGTTTCAGCGAAGAAATCTTCTCGACTCTCCTCAACTCCAACCCTGGCTCCGACGTCTACAATACAACTTCCGCAGGTCAAGTAATGCATGCTCGACTTGCTGATTCAATTAGCAGGAATCCAAACGTAACCAACACAGGCTTCCAGCAGGGCACTAGGGCAGGTGAGAGCGGGTTCTACCTGAGCGTTATGGGTGACCCGATTACGGGTGAGGCGCCTAAGAAGTGAGTACCTTGTCTGACAGTTATTTCTTTCCCCTTGCACTGTGGACTGACTTTCCTACTCCTTATCGCGTTTCAGGTTCGTCCAGATCTTCTTCCGCGAAGAACGTCTTCCGATCGAGGAAGGTTGGAAGAGACCTACGGCTCCCATTAACGGGGCCACCTTGTCAGCGCTCGCCGAGAAGATCGCAGCGGCGTCTGATTGGGAACCAACGGGAGACGACTGTCCCAGGGTCGTTCTCTTCCCGCAGTCTCCGTAAAAGGGTGAATGCCGCATGTGTGCCCGAGGTCACTTTTGGCGGCTCAACAAGGTTGCTAGAACAATATTAACTTCCAAGTTCGTAAGCTATCACGATTGGATATTGCTGAAAATGGATGGTCACAGATATCCATGTGAATATACTCGAAGCTCACGACTCACATATCCATGGAGTCATCACTGGAATAAGTATCTATATCACCAGTGGGCCCTGGGCAGTCAAAGTTACGGCAGCGGAAGTTTAAGCTCAAGCTGTACCAAGGAAAATGCATAGCAAGAAAACCCGCATAGCTCATCAGCTTGACGGTATCGGGTATCACCGCGCCACTTCTACTTGCACCAGCAGACTGGCGGGGACGTCCAAGGAGATGCGGTAGGGAGATCCCAAATCCGAAACTGTCACCAAGCTCTACGATATTGTATCCCTTGCTACCCACGTCTGGATAGGCACTGGGGTCGTTGTAGATCTTCCTAGACCGGAGAGATCCGTGAGGTGATAGGTGCTTGATGTCCGTTGAGTTTGGGGAATGGGACTAGAGTTGACTGCCCATGAAAGGTTGCCTGGTTCGGATGAGTCGCATCCTACGTCGCGCCTATTACACAACCGCGAGTTGAGGAGCTGAAACCCATCAGATTCATCAGGCGGGGGACTCCCCTCATTTCAGACCCATCGCAAGTATCTCGAACGTACCACCATCATACTATTGCTATACAACTTCGACAGCATCATGACAGGAATAAGGTGATAACTGTCGTTCTTGAAGACAAAGAAGATAACCACATCCAGAATAGTGACTGTCGAGGTGAGGAGTCCAGTACCGAGGAAGAGCCGGATCAGCCTGACAAGTATCGCGTTTGTGGGCCCGAGGCCACTTCGATGTGTGAAGAGGGACAGGAGCATGGATAGTGTGATTAGCGTGTCGCATGCTGCGGTGCCTTTATAGCGCTGAGTCTCATCAGCAACTCGGGGGGAATCCTGTTTTACGGACCTGCGAGCCAAATCTGGAACCTGGTGTATGAGAATCTGCCTACCCGGCGGGAGATTAAGATATCATACGTACGATGGAGGGGATTCGTATTCCTTCTTGAAGTCGAGCGTAGCTTCTGATCTCGGCGCCCTCGACAATTCCCGCCCATAGACCGCCCCCCGCTTGGATGAGACTTAGCTAAGAGAGGCCCCGATGTCAGCGTGATTCAAGGATCATTACTCGAAAGAAAGGAATGGACTCTCACCGCACATATCACCAGCGGGACGTATTTACATATCAACCTACACCGCAGTCGTCAGGTTAATACCGTTGGTCTGATGACTCTGATCAAGAGACTCGGACATACTTTGACCGGCTCAGTACCCATATCCGCCATGCATAGTAGAACTGGAT